ATAACCCTGTGACTATACTCTAACTACCAATTTGTACTTCTTAATCCCTTCATCTTTTTCAACGAGACTCCCAACCTCCTTCCCCTCTGGTATCCATCAGTCTGTTCTCAGTATCAGTAGTCTGTTTCTATTTTCTTTGTTTTAGAGATTTCACATATAAGTGAAATAATATGTATTTTTCTTTCTCTGTCTGACTTATTTCAGTTCCATTTTTTAAAATTTTTTTGAGGACCCTTCATATTGTTTTCCAAAGTGGTTCTACCAATCTATATTCCCACCAGCTGTGCATAAGCATTCCTTTTTCTCCACATCATCACCAACACTTATTGTTTGTTGATTTATAGCCATTCTGGCAGATCTCAGGTATCATCTCCTTGTGGTTTTGATTTGCATCTCTCTGATGATTAGTAATGTTGGCCGTATGTATGTCCTCTTTGGAGAAGTGTCTATTCAGTTCCTCTTCCCACATTTTAATTAGGTGGTTTTTCTGGTGTTGAGTTCTTTAGTGACTACTTCAGTATGCTCTTTTAGAAGAACTGATATTTGTGCTGATCCATCCTATCTAATAAAAGAGAAACATGGTAATTGGCGTACGACCGCTACCCTTCCCATTGGCTAATCAGGGCGATATGCAAATTAACTGTCAGCCAAGATGGCGGCCGGCAACCAGGCAGCTTGAAACTAACATGAGGCTTGCTTGCTTCAGTGACGGAGGAAACCAACATTCCCCGCCTGCCTTGCAGGCCTCTGAGCCTGCAGTTTGAAACATTTTAACAAATATAGAAGCTAAAAAAACCCCAGAAACCAGCTTTCAATGAGCTGGGATCTCAGAGCTGGAGTCAGAGCTGGAGTTATACATTGTTTCAAACCGAAACAAACCAGATACCTACTTTCAGCAGCAGAGGCCTAAGAGCTGGAGCCTCAGAGCTAAAGCTGGCCCAGAATTAAAAAAAAGAAAAGAAAAAAAGGAGCGGTTGGGAGCTTCTGTCACCCGCCAGCCTGAAAACAGCCCTCAGCCCCTCACCCAGACTGGCCAGGCACTCCAGTGGGGACCCCCACACTGAAGGGTGTGTGACCAGCTGCAAACAGCCCTCAGCCCCTCACCCAGGCTGGCCAAGCACCCCAGTGGGGACCCCAACCGTGAATGGTGTGTGACCAGCTGCAAACAGCCATCATCCCCTCACCCAGGCTGGCCAGGCACCCCAGTGGGGACCCCCACCCTGATCCAGGACACCCTTCAGGGCAAACCATCCAGCCCCACCCATGCACCAGGCCTCTACCCTATATAGTAAAAGGGTAATATGCCTCCCAGCACCGGGATCAGCAGAGCCGAGAGGCCTCCCGGCACCGGGATCAGCATGACAAGGGGCAGCGCCCAAACCCCCTGATCGCCCTGCAGCTCTGTGTGTGACGGGGGTGGGGGGCCACAACCTCCCTATCTGCCCTGCTCTGTTTGTGACAGGGGAAGGCGCCCCAACCTCCTGATCAGCCCTGCTCTGTGCCTGATACGGGGGAGCTCCCCAACCTCTGATCCCCCTGCGGCTCTGTGTGTGACAGGGTAGAGCCATAACCTCCCCATCAGCCCTGCCCTGAGTGTGACAGTGACGGCATCCCAACCCCCTGATCCGCCCTGCTCTGTGTGTGACAGGGGGCGGCGCCCCAACTCGCCTATCGGCCCTACTCTCTGAGTGACAGGGGGGAGCTTCTCAACCTCCTGATGGGCCCTGCTCTGTGCGTGACAGGGGGGAGCTCCCCAACCCCCCTGATGGGCCCTGCTCTGTGTGTGACAGGGGGCAGCGCCCCAACCCCCGGATTGGCCCTGCTCTGTGCGTGACTGGGGGTGGCATCACAACCTCCCGATCCGCCTTGCTCTGTGCATGACAGGGGGTGGTGCCCCAACTCCCCAATCAGCCCTGCTCTGAGCCCGACCAGGGGCTGCACCTAGGGATTAGGCCTGCCCTCTGCCACCCGGGAGCAGGCCTAAGCCAGCAGGGCGTTATCTCCCAAGGGGTCCCAGACTGCGAGAGGGCACAGGCCGGGCTGAGGGACCCCCCCTTCCTCCCGAGTGCACAAATTTTTGTGCACCGGGCCTCTAGTGCTATATAATAAAAGACTAATATGCTAAGTGTCCGGTCGTCCGGTCAGCCGTTCAACCCATCAAAACATAACATGCTAATGATATGCTAAGGCCGCTCAACTGCTTGCTGTGACATGTACTGACCACTAGGAGGCAGACACTCTGACCAGTGGGTTAGCTTGCTGCTGGGGTCCAGCCAATGGGACTGAGCCAGATGGGCCAGACAGGCCCTGGAGTCCTCCCGCGGTCCCTCCCTGGCTGGCCAACCTCCCGCGTCCCTCCCTGGCCCTGATCATGCACTGGTGGGGTCCCTAGGCCTGGCCTGCACCTTCTCACAACCTGCAACCCCTCTGGGGATATTGGAGAGCTGGTATAGGCCTGACAGCAAAAGGGCTGGTCGCTATGATGCACACTGACCACCAGTGGGCAGACACTTAATGCAGGAGCTGTCCCTGGTGCTCAGTGCGCTCCCACAGGGGGAACACCACTCAACCAGAAGCTCATAGCTGGTGAGCAAAGCAGTGGTGGCGTGAGCCTCTCCCGCTTCTGTGGCAGCACTAAGGCTGTCCAACCGCCAGCTTAGATTTTTCTTCAATTCCAGGACTTATATCAGTTCAGTATATTTCATAATTTCTCAAAAGTTGTCTCCCTTCATTGGCCTGGTGGCTGCCTAGACACCCTGCCATGGGAAGAGGGAAGTCACTGTCCTGCTGGCTCTGCCATGTCTCCACCTTCTTATTCTTCAATTTTCCTTGAATAACTCCTCTTCAAGAAGAAGGGACAGACTTCAAAACCAAAAGACAATATTATTCTATTTGTCAGGTACATTATACATGTTCTTGGTTAACAATGACAATGGCTCTACTAAAAGATGTTATTTCTGATTTCTCAGGAGCCAAAGTCCTTGATTTTAATGCATGTAAATGTATTCATATCAATTGTATTTATCCTTATATAAGAAGTCCTTTCTTATCGTAGGTCATAAAGCTGTATTTCTATATTGTCTTTGAAAATGTTGTTTCTGAATTTTAATATATAAGCATTATTTTGAGATAGGTTTAAGTCCAGTTTTAGTTTTCCATGTGGATTCTGAATTGACCCAATATCATTCATTGTACACACCATATTTCCCTGCTCACTTGCAAATCTGGGTTTGTCATTAATCAAATCTCAATTTGGGATTTGTCCCTTTTGGGGCTCTTTATTTTTCCATCCATTTGCTTATCCTTGTCCTAATATTACATTATCCTAATTCATAAAAATGACACATTAATTCTTGATAAAGATTAAGAAAAATTCCTTCACCTTGTTCTCTTATTCTAAGTCCTTTGAACCTTCTCATAAATTTTAATATATGTTTTTCAATTATGCACACACACACACACACACACACACACACCTTGGCAATATTTTTACTGGAATTACATTAAGTCAATAGATCAATTGGGTTAGAAATAATATTTATATAGTAATAGCAGTGAGGGTTCACCAGAGAAACAAATCCAACAGGGTGTGTGTGTGTGTGTGTGTGTGTGTGTGTGTGTGTGTGTTGGGGAGAGAAAGGAAGGGAGACAGAAAGAGGGAGAGAAAGGGAGAGAAAACTGGCCAAAAATAACCAGGGAAGGTTTGATACTGCAGGTAGAGTCTGGAAATGTTCTTCTGGTGTACCCCTCTTCCTCAGGGGTGGGAGTTCTCTTTTTCTTAAGATTTTCAACCAAATGGATGATATCACAAACATTATGGAGGGTAATTTGCTTTACTCAACTCTCCTGATTTAAATATTAATCTCATCTAAAAAAAACATCTTTTGACTTGTATGCATGCATATAAGCATAACCAATGGACATAAGACACGGGGGGGTAGGGGAGGCCAGGGGATTGTCAAGGGCGGGGAAAAAAGGAGACATATGTAATACTCTTTGTAATACTTTAACCAATAAAACAATTAAAAAAATAAATAATAAATAAATAAATAAATAAATAAATAAATAAATAAAAAACATCTTTGCAGCAACACCCAGAACTGCTTGACCAAATATCATTTATTACATATTATTTCAAGTAGAAGTTTTGGGGGTTCTTTTGGTTTAGTGTTTTTTTGAGTTAATGCATCAGTTTTTCTATTTGGCAATTGAAAGTGACCTGAGAAGACAGATCTCACAGAGGAGAGGACTTCATTTTCACAGAGGAGGGGACTTCATTTTTTTTTTTTTTCAGATTAAGGTCCACAGACTGCCTGTTTTCCTATCCATTCAAATTTTTACTCCAAAGTCATCTTGACATAGTTAGAGTGGGCTCGGACAAACTTTTTGCCAGAATCTATCATTTAAAAGCATGGCTTTGTGTTGGAGAGAATGCAGTCACTGTATTCAGCTATCTATCAGCCTGCACACTCCCCTAATTCCATACAAGAGACCGGGGTTTTGGAATCTCTCTCTCTCTCTCTCTTTCTTTTTCCTGATTTTATGCCAATTTCTTACTGACTGCCAGAGAATCAACCAATAAGTAAATAAACATTGGCAGAGGTAAACTTAGATTGGCCATGTTTACCTCCCAGTCCCATCTAGAAGGGGCTGCTATGCCGTTATCTAACTCATAAATGTTTACTTATATTTAACTATTTTGGTCTATTTGCTTGGCAAACTGGAAGTAATGATGAACATTTATATGTCCCTTGCTAAAAAGTACAGTGGCATATTTGGACGCATGATCTCAGTTGCATGGTCATTTACAATTTATTTGTGTATTACATATCATGAAGCTAATCACGTCTAGCAACTTGGATGCCAGGAAGAGAGGAGACATAATGGAGGTCTATCCACAGACATTAGAAATGAAGGATTAGATCTGAGTTACGATTTTAAAAAGGGAAATATTTAAAATGATATGCTGTAATATCTCCAACAATTAACAAAAGGACATAGTGCTCGCTTCAGGGGCACATCTTAAATTGGAACAATACAGAGAAGATTAGCATGGCCCCTAAGCAAGGATGACATGCAAATTCGTGAAGCATTCCATATTTTTTTTTAAAAGGAAAGTATATAAATAGGTCTAAAATATGTTTACATTGATGTGCCCTCATTAAAAACCAAAGAAATGCAAGTGCAAGTGACATACATTTTTAAATTAGTCCAAAATGTAAAAATGTAAAAACACACACACACACACACCACTCAGTAATAGTTGTCATTTGGATACACTATCTGTAGAAGTGACATTTCATGCAATATTTCTGAAGAGTGATTTTGCTAGCTATTAAAAGGCTTGGAAATGTAGATGCTATTTACATAGCGATTCTGTTTTAAGAAAGCAAACCCAAGGACATAAAGAAGAATGTGAACAAAATTTTAACATCAAGAGTATTTATCATAATGACAGGTCACTGTAAATGGTAAAAAACAAAAGGAAAAAAGTTATGCTACATGTATGCAATAAAATGCTTTGAAACCACATAATATATAAAATGAAAATAAGAAGCATGGTGTACTCATAGCTTTGGTTTATACTGGCATGCAGTGAAATGTATGGGCCTTTTACAAGGCTAGTTTTAGGGACATTTCTCAAAATGCCCTCAATATATTTTTGGGTGTATTATATTAGACTTGAGTAACTTTAGTAACCCACCCCTCCCAAAAAATGAAATTCAGTTTTGATATAAACTACTGGCAGGAACAAAAGTAACCTGAATAGTCAAAGTATAAAGACCTCATTAGGACAGCACTCTGTGGAGATTTGAATTGTTAGAGAAAAATGAGTCTTAGGTAACTATATCTATTCCAACAGCTCAAGATAGATAGTAAGCAGAAGTAAAAAAAAAAAAAAAGGAAAGAAAAAGTAACGACAGAGCCTCAAATGCAGAACAACTGTGTAAGATAAGTGGATCTAGAAATTGTGTTTTCTGACCTCAAAATATGTAAAGGACACACTTTCCATTCCTGAAGTATGAACACTTTTTAAAACTAGCATTGTGCTTATTAATAAGATTCTGTTTCAGAATACGCTGAGTATGGCATCTATGAATGATTAAAATCCAATTATTGCAGCACAATTTACCATAGCTAAGATCTGGAAACAGCCTAAGTGCCCATCAGCAGATGAGTGGATTAAAAAACTGTGGTACAGCCTAACCGGTTTGGCTCAGGGGATAGAGCGTCGGCCTGTGGACTGAAAGGTCCCAGGTTCGATTCTGGTCAAGGGCATGTACCTTGGTTGTAGGCACATCCCCAGTAGGAGGTGTGCAGGAGGCAGCTGATGGATGTTTCTCTTTCATCGATGTTTCTACCTCTCAATTCCTCTCCCTTCCTCTCTGTAAAAAATCAATAAAATATATTTAAAAACAAAAAAACAAAAACCTGTGGTACATCTACACAATGGAATACTATGCTACAGTAAAAAAGAAGGAATTCTTACCATTTGCAACAGCATGGTTAGAACTAGAGAGCATTATGCTAAGCGAAATAAGTCAGTCAGAGAAAGATAAATATCACATGATCTCACTCATTGTGGAATATAATGAACAACATAAACTGATGAACAAAAACAGATCCAGAAACAGAGAAGCATCAATCAGACCGTCAAACCTCAGAGGGAAGGTAGGGGAGGGTGGGTTTAAGGGGGAGAGATCAACCAAAGGACTTGTATGCATGCATATAAGCCTAACCAATGGACACAGGCAATAGGGAGGTGAGGGCATGAGTGGGGGGCATCGGGGGCAATGGCGAGATAAGGACACATATGTAATACCTTAATCAATAAAGAAGATAAATAAATAAATAAACAAACAAACAAACAAATAAATCCGATTATCCCTGTCCGTTAGGAAGGGGCTGGAAAGGAGCTCAGTGCTTCAGAATCAAGGTTTCCACAAATTGTGAAATCTCAAGACAGGCCACTTCATCATTCTGTTTTTCTTTTACTTTCAAAAAACTAGAGGATATTTATGGAATTTGGCACATTACTATAGAAAGATTCAATGAAATAAATACAGTAAAACTCATGAAATAGCACTTATCCATTGTAAGCAATGGATTATTAGAGATTTGAAGTTTGCTCTATTTTCCCTTTGCACTATTTTGCATGTTTGGTATACTGCACCACTCCATCTAACCTCTGTGTTTATGAGATGTGGGACCATGCTCTCCCCTAATTCCTTTGGTCAGTAACTAACGGATGATCATGGCAATTATTCCTTCAGGCTAGTTATTATCTTCCCTTTATCATTTGCCTTTTAAAATAGTTTTGTTTCAAAGGGGTTTTATGGAAATGTATATTTTCCTATATAACAGAATCTAACAACCAGGTCAAAGTGAGTAATTAGCAAACTTGGCAAAATATTAAGGCTTAAAAATATAGGATGAAATCATTTGTAAGTTTAGTATCTCACTGGCTTTCAGAAATTTACACTTTGTTCCTTAGAAGCTGACGATGGAGTAAGCAATATAGTTACCATGGAGCTCAGGAACTTCCTAAGAGAAGGTTTGGTCAGGACAAGCACAGCTATTTCTGTCTATGAATCTGAGAGAAAATACTCCCATGGGTTCCTATCAGAAAGAAGCTTAGTGACTTGCAAACAACACCATCATCAACACCTTTGGTCCTAATATGAAGAAAAGCGATGAGTGTTCTAGAATTGTTTCTTAGAAGTTTCCTCTTTGTAAGCTGGTAGAAAAATGCTAAAGCATAGCTTGATAAATGCCAAAATAATGTGATCCTGGTATAATTCTTTAGTAAAGAGAGTTGATATAATATATGAGAACAGAGAGAACGTCCCACTGGAATTCTTTATTCCTGATATATATTTCCTTGGTGAAGTCTGAGGACAGTGTGATAAAGAATTTTCTCTTAATTGTGGGAGGATGAATCTTATTTTCGTCAGACTTTCCACTAGTTGGATGAGGCCCACATTCATGGAAGACAGTCTGTTGTACTTTATTGGAACAAATGTTGATCTCACCTCAAAACACCCTCTTAGATATACCAAGAGTAAAGTGACCAAATGTCCTGCACCCTGTGTCCCACACAAGTCAATTCATAAAATTAACCACCCCGGAATACAGAAAGGCAAAATTGAATGCCTGCCGATCCCTGTGATGGTCATAAGCCTGCTCTTTCGTCTCATTGGCCCAAACTCTGTCACATGGCTACACCTATCTGTATGGGTGATTAGGAAACTGAGACTTGTAGCCAGACGCATTGCCATCTCAAAAAACAAACAAACCAGGACTCTTTTAATTCACAGTGTCTTTAGTCTATAAAACAATAAGTCAATATATTCTATAAATCACATACATAGAAAATAAATATTCACCTAATTTCTCCAGGTAATGACTCAAAAAGTCACAGTTTCTAACCTGTACTTTCTGCCCCTCACAGAGGCCTTTCATAAACTTACTTAGATTTACACATCCTGGCTCATTTATTCTCTTTAACATCACAAATCATAGATGACATCAAAATTATGATTTTCTAGTGCTTATTATTTTTCATTGTCTCCCCCCATACACACTGGACAATAGATGCTGTGTCCAGAATTCTATTTACCACTTCAGACTTGTAGCCTCTATACTTAGATAGAAGGGCACCTGGTATGGTTGTCACTTAATAAATAATTGCAGATTAACTGAGTAAAATCTAAATGCTTACTGATCTTTGAGAGGAAAGATTCATTTGCAGTTAGCAACAAATATTGTCTCATAAAAATGGAGCCTTTAGGTGTCAAATGTTGTGTCATAAAAAGTGTAGATATCTTACTGGTAAGGACATTATCTCTTGCAGTTTTGTAGAAAACTATGATTTATATTTAAGCCATTCCTTCAGATGCAGTAATAATATTCATTCAGTATAGGTGAAACAATCATAAAATCAGAGACAGAAGTCTGAATGATTAACATTTACTGTTCCTGAATTTTGAATAAATATTAATACAGACACCATCTAGACATATAAATAAGATGTGTAATTCAGAAACTGATAAGAAGTGTAATTCAGAAACTGGTACCTCGTTATTTTTTCACCTCATTTCCAAAGAGCATATGAATTTAAAATGCTCTGTGGAGCAACGTCTTTCACTGATTAATGTAATTCTCTAACAGATGGAAGAAAAGACTAGTGCTTCCATTAACATTTTGAAATACCACAAATATATATACTCTGACAAAATTTATTCAAATAGTCGTGGAAAGGGTTTTTATTTTATTAAACAAATTACATTCTAATGCATTCCTACTGTAAAAGGAGGCAAGACAAAGAATAGAAATCACTCTTATCTCCATTTCTCAAGTCCAAGAGGGAAGTTTGCAGAAATCCAAAATCCTTTAGTGCTTTCATACACACACACACACACACACACACACACACACACACACACACATCTTTTCTGTGTCTTCATTTCATAAATGGGATTAAACATATTGTGTTTATTTTAGCAATTAGACTTAGAGATTTTTTTCACATAAATATTAATCTATTGATATATTTTAGCCTATTCACTTTGTATTTATATCATGATATACTATCATTTATTTAGCCTTTGCTTAATGACAAATATTTTGTTTTCTTAAATTATTAGCTAACATTATGCTGTAAAGAACAACCTTAAACAGATAGATCAAGTGCCAATTTTTCCACATTGTTGCCATAATTTGATATAATTAATCTTACACATTTTTATTCTTTTTTATTTTATAAGTTAGTACGAAGGATGGGTCTATTTTTAATATTTTACTAGCTGTTTAGATTTCTTCTGAGATAACATATGCACACGCTTTGACTATTTATATTTCTTCTTACTCATGATATAGGTACATATATAATATACATATATATAATTTTTTAAAATTTTATAGGATTTTAACATTTTATGTTAATCTTCAATATATAAAATATGTTAACAATTTTTCATTCTGATTCTTGTCTTTAATTTATCTTCTTAGTGACTTTTTTCATGTAGAATTTAATTTTATGAGTTTTTTCTTTTCTTTAAGAAGGTCATCTCTAATCCAGTAGTATAAAATTATATTCTAGTA